TCTCTTTCCTGTGTGAGCATTTTATGGTTCTGCTCATAGGAAATCTGAATCCAAGCCATGGAATGTGTTCCTTTGCATTTTCAATGAAGAGGGGGATATTTTTTTCTTGAACTCCTAACTTTTTATTCTTTGAATATGCAGAAGGAACAGCTTGCTGAAATGCAAAACAAGTATCTGGCTTACGGAGACACCTGACTTAATTGCAAAACATATTTAGAAAGCCCAGTGAATTATTTTTACAAGATCTAACTTTCTTTAAATTTACATATGGTCACTTGCTATGACTTATCTTGCCATTCAGAAAATGCATTCTGCCCCTTAAAGAAGTAGTTTTGCATCATGTACGTTGCAAAACTGAATGCTGTTTAGGAAAAAAAGAAATTGAAACAAGGAAATTATGCACACTGGCGTCCTATTCACCTTGGAAGAGCTACAATATATGATTACTTAAAAAGGATAACATAACCTATCAAAAACAGTTCAGAAGCATTAATTACTTTCTCCACTAAAAATACACAGTAATAATTTTAAAAGACAGTACCAGCACATTCAAATTCCTTAAGGGATAACAGGGGGAACCAAATATCGCAGCAGAACAGAATGCAACAATAATTCATACATAGTGTCTGACAGTATCCACTGTATTTCCAGACTTCACCACAGAAAGGGATCCTTGCATTTAAAACAATCCAGGGATCATATGAAAGGAAAATAGGAGAGATTAGTCATTAGAAAAAACTAAAGGAGGACATGACAGAGATGTCATGCAGCTTAGTACTCCACACACAAAATAAAGATCTAGTATTCAAATATATTCACACTTTGGAAACTCAGCTTAAAGAACAGACATTCTAAATCAGACTGCTTAGACCATGGAAATAAATCTGCCAGTGACCTAGTAGATTACTACACAAATGCATGGGACATTTACAATAACCATTTAAATAATATTGCATTATACCTATGAAATAGTAATATTACAACTAAAACACATGGAAATTGGGAGACTCCGGGATGAAAAGAGAACAAGCAGGACCCATATAACAAAATATCCAAAACTATATTATGAGCACACACAGCAAATAATTGAAATAGCAACCATTTGGAAGCCTGTAGTGAATACTTCAGATTTTACAGAAGCACTTAAACACACATCCACCCAGAAAAGATATATACAGAAAAGAGCAGTATTGTAATGCTTCAGTTTACAGATTTTCACAGCCAGCTTCTCATTTTTTTGCTCAGAGACAACTAAGTTCTCTGCCTATGGAGGCACAGTGCTAAAAGTCAAGACTCCTTTAAGTCAAGTTCACAGGCAATGACAAATCCATGTCACTCCTGAAAACAGTCTATAATATTTTCTTGGCAGCAATATGGAAGTGGCTCACCATTCCTTTTTTTCCAGAATATTTTTTTCAATCTTCCAATCTATTATACCAGCCAAATTAAATCCTGATGGTTTCTTATCTAAACACTAAGCTGATCTGACCTTACTTAGTTTTGTTAGAATTGGCCAATATTGGCTGCACACTGCCACCTGCTGCAGATGCTTATTAGCATACAGGCCAAAATCCATTCAACAAATCATAGTAGCAAATGATCTATCACAAAAGCAACCAAAGCCCTTTGGGGATTTATCTGAACATCTATGTATGAACACAGACACAAGTTCCTATGATATGTGCTGTCAAGAAATGCAAATTACAGGCAAACATGAGTCCGTATATTCATTCTACTACTTTTTAATCAGTTCACTCAAAAGGATATGCAGCAATTTACACATGGCCTACAGAGGACCCAAGGCAAGATGAACCTATGGAAATAGATAGCTTCAAAAAGTTACTTCTCTCCCTCAAGCAAATTAAACTAGGACAACTACATAATTACACTTTAACAAGGAAATAGAGGAACATGTTATTATAAACAAAAACAGTCTTAATGCATATAATGCAGGACTGCAAAAATCATAGAACCCTTTTGAAGCATTTCTTACTTCCTTTGCTTTTTCTCTCTCCAACTTCTACCAGGATTTTCAGGAAAAAAGAAACATAAAACTACATCTGTATCAGGGAGTAAATACAATTAAAACCTGCCAGAACAGAAGACCTTCACAAATCAACTCACTAATTAGTTCTAAAAAACAAATAATTGTGAATTCAGGACATTGTGGAAACATAGGTGGACACAATTAATCAATGATGTAATCCACTAAGGCACCTGTTTTAGCTAATAGAGACATAAAAGTATGAAGAATTAACACAAGCATGGGCCAAGGAATGACATGCATTGTTTCCTGATTTTTGTAATCCAACTTTAAATACAAAAAACAAACATCCATCCAATTATCCTATTATGAGTTAATATCACTACTTGGATCTGTGGAGCATCAAAACAATAATTAGCACAGCAGACTTTGTAGCATGCAATGAACACTTCTTATACTGCAAATTGCCCAGCATGCTGACAAAATTATCGAAGTATCCTCTTTGCCCTGATTGCAAATCTGAGGTGACAAAAATATTGTCAGAATGAAAATGTACACAATTTTAACCTGAAAATACAACATGGACACAGTATTAGGCACTCAAACCTGTGACCCCAAAAGGAAGCTTCAAACTGATATCCAGACAGCAAATTTTAATTATTCAAAAAGGTTGCTGACTGTACCTCAAATAGATACAGATATCTAAAAAATATACATCAGGATTCTTGTGGGGTGCTGCTGGCTGAGTAAAGTGCAAGACTATCAAGGAGAAATGAAGCTGCTTTGCCCCATGATACAAACCACAGGCACATGACTTAATACTGGTAATTGACTTGTAACACCTCAACTCAAATACCAAATGAACATCTCTAAAACCTGTTATAAGAAGCTATTTAATAAGAAAAAAAACAGGCAAGATCCCAGTGCCTTACCCAAACTATAAGATTTTTAAGTAAGAATTTTGCTTAAATTGTTAACCTATTTCTTCTGATACTATCTACAGCAATAGGCAAAAACTCTCCAGGGTTTTAGACCCAAGTCTTTTCTAATCCTACCAGGAGATACAAGCAATAGAACCTGGCATCTTTTGCATGTACATCACGAGATCTATCAATGAGCCGAGGCACTTCCAAAACTAGATGACAGGCTTTGCTATGAAGAACACACTACCACTTTCTGCCATGCATTTGTTAGTACTAAGCATTTCTTCTTGATGAAGATTTGGTTCCAAATCCTCTACCTGCCAAGTTGTTTTTCCCCTACCAACTTTCCAATGATTTATTTAAAATAACGTATAGCCATGTTTGCAACATACATGGAGACAGATTTAGACTAAACAGGAAATGACAAAGACTGAAACTCACCTCTTCCAAAGTCCAAAGCAATATACTTTTCTCAAATTTAGTAAATCAGATTATAAAATGTCCCTCGCTTTTCAATGTATTCTTCCTTTATATTTCATACATTCAAATTACCTAATATAGCAGCTTTTAAAAATATCAAGAGTTAATGATACTCACTGACTGTGCCAAAGCATAAAAACGGAATCCATGGCTGCTCATTCTATCCCTAAAAATCTTAATGCAGTCTAGTAAATAGTAACTAATATTTGTAAGAACAGGACTATAACATCTTTACCGGTGTTTTCCTTCTGCTGATGATAAGAGTAGTCTGGATTTGACCGTATGATTGATGGTTTGCCACTGTTTTATTTAGCTTTATTTTATTGCTGTATCAGTAACTGATACAGCATAGACTACTACCGAACTTGTATTGACATAAACTGGCGTAATTGCAACATGCAAGTCAAAACAAAACAAAGATGTAACTCTATAAAAAGGAAACAGCACAGCCAAATATGAACTAAATTAATTTCAATATTTTCTGTATGTGAATTTGACACTGCAGATAACATATTGTTTTGTTTCCTGCTCCCATTAAAAAGAAACGTTCAACATGCCCAAACTGGCCTTTCCCAAGAAAAAGGATAGTGTTTCTTCCAAACTGCACTCTCCATTTATACTGATGAGAAGTACTTCAAATAAAGGATTATTATTTCTCCTTCCTTGCAGATAAAAATGATTGATACCAACTGGCAAATATGAAAAGTTAATCCCAGCTCTCTGACTCAAGTAAAATTTAACAATTACTTGTTATTCAATCCTCTTCAGGGTTAAAATCGCTTTTAAAAAACAGTTCGGTTAAATCAGCGCGCTGTGACACCGAACTACGTAACACGGTGAAGCTTCAATACGGTCTGACCCTTTTACCCTCTTTTCCCTTCTCTCCCAAATGAGGCCGCATCAACACTTACCTGGTTAAACTCCTCGTCGGCGTAGATATCAATGAGGTCTACTCCTTCCGACATAGTTTCAGAAGCTCCACGGAGAGAACCGGGGAGAAAGAGCGGCACTGCAAGTCAAAGTAAAGAACCGGGTTAACGCGACCCCCGAATAACCCTCCTGGCGGGGCTACGAACTGGGCCCGGCCCTCCGCCGCCAGGCCCGCAGGGAAGCCGCCAAGAGGAAGGCGGGCCTCTGGCCGCAAAGCAACCCCGCCCCCTTTGCTCCGCGCGCATCTGAGGACTGAACCACAGCAGCCCCGCAAGGGGAGGGGTCGAGGAGCAAGGTGGGAAACGGAGAATTCCCCCCCCGTCGGCGCCATAATTGCGCCCGCTCGTTCGCGGCCGCCATCGCCTCCCGCTTTCCCGCGCTGGGAAGGAAGCCCGCCATTCCTCCCCCGAAGGGCCGCCAACCCACAGCGGGCGGGAAACCTCATCTCTCCCCAGTGCTAGGCGGCCCCATTATACCGCGTAAGGCCCACAATCCCAAGCAGGCCCAAAACGCGCGCGAACCTCTCTCTCTCTCTCCACCACAGTAAGGGCCTCCTCTGCCCTGCCCCTTCCGGCTTGTCGAGTCCCGCCTGTTCCGGTTTCTAGTGCCGCTCCGCGCAGAAAAGTACGAAAACTTCCTCTTTGGTTCCCTCCCCCTCCCTGGCAGCGTTCGACAGTTCGCGGAGCAGCCAGTATGGGATAGAAGTGATGCGCATGCGCGTTGAGCTCTATGGCTGGCTGAAGAAAGAAAGTGTATCCTGATTCGTGTCACGTCTATGGTTGAGAGCGAATGATAGAGTAGCTCGGGGGACAAAGCAGGATGGCCGCTCTAATGGTTCGAGTGAGTGAGGGAGGCGAAACGGGAGGACCGGGCACTGTCGTCGTTCTGAATGGCGGCTGACCGTGGGGTGGGTCGTACCCCTCTCTTTCCCTTTCCTCGCAGCGTGTCTTGCTCCTGCCCGGCTGTCTCTTTCGCTCGCCAAAGCGCGGCTACCGCGGGGATTCTCCGTCTGATTCTGGGAAGGACCTGCTGGAGATCCCGCTCCCTCCCTGGCAGGCTCGGCCTCACGAGCCACCGGCGAGCAAGCGCGCGAGGCTCTTGTATGAAAGCCGCAAGAGAGGCATGTTGGAGAACTGCCTGCTGCTCAGGTGGGCGCTTTTACTTCTCTTCTTCCCAGCCAGCGTACTTAGAATTGCTGGTCCATTTTTATTATTATTTAGCTCAGCCGCCTTTGGGGCAAGCTGAATGCTAGTAATACAGTCCTTTCACTGGGACATCTGTCTCCATCCGTTTCTGCCCTGAGATCTTCAACCGAGCATGGGGCAGCATTTACCTGATCTTGGAAGAACTTGAAAAATGATAGCAGGGTCAGATGGGGTTAATATTGGGTGGAAGACCACCAGGAGATCTTAGAACTGTAAGCCACAATAGGAAGTAAATAATCCTGAAATGCAGCAATGGCAAAAACATATTGCTGCCATATGGACATAGGCTAGCAATCAATCTCAACTTGAGGGGGTTTCCCTTACTTTATTACCTGCTGACCAGGCTAAAGTTCCTCTTACCAGTTTTCTTTGATCAAGTAGACTGTGTGGGCTCCCTAAGGTACCTGTGGAGGACTAATTTGTATAGTCAAGCTGTCTAAACTAGTAGCCATTGCCATATCTTGTCCCTGTAAGATCTTTTTATTTATTTATTATATTTCAAATTTGGTCACCGCCCATCTCACTAGGAAGTAATTCTGGACAGTAATATCTTGATATTAAATGTGCTGTATGACAAAGTTTGTTCTTTTGTCTCCTAAAAGTCACCCCAGGGGTGTGCTGTTGTGCACAAAAGCTTCCTTAGTACAATTGTTTTTGTTGTGAGTATGGATGTTTCTGCTGATTAAATTATTATTATTTATTAAATTTTTCAACCGCCCATCTCCCCCCAATGTCACTTGTGTATATTCAGGTGAGGTAGGGCTGATCCCTGCCTCTTATAATGGTAATGGATAAATAGAGCCAATTAGAATCTACTAACAGTTGAGGGAGGATTATCATAAAGGTATGGGAAAATTCAGGTACTGGTGTGTTTTTAATTGATTATTTTTTCATTTAGTGTTTACTTGCTTTATATGAGCTTAGCATCTTGTACTATTTTAGTATTTTCCAGTATTCTTAATTGTTTTTAATAGTTTATTTGCCAAAGAGAACCTGAATCAAATGAATGAGCAACAACTGGACCTTTATGACCGTCTGATAAATGAGCCCAGCAATGATTGGGACATATACTACTGGGCAACAGGTAATCTGTTTTGGGGCCAGCAGACTATAGCTCTCAGCATATTTCTAATCTCATGATACTGAGCAAAGCAATATAGATAATATTTTAGCATCTATTTCTATTCTGTATTTCAGGGATCTTGTAGACAGAACTAAAAGGTCTTAGATATCTATAGGCCTTGAAACTTTCTGGGAATTTGAAATACAGTTTTACCTTGGAGCAGAAATACAGTAAAAACAGTTAAGGACATCACTTGCTGTCTTAACAACTGAGAGACTAACTATGCAATCCTGTACATATCTATTAAAAATACAGTTGTGGAGATAGTTTGTGAGCCTATTAGAACCATCTTCATAATTCTTTTATGACCTACAGTGTGATCTGCAGAATTATAGAAAGATCTGAGAATTCACAGATGTTCCTCTTTGTAAGCTGCACTGGGTTCATTTAGGGCTTTTCCCAGGTACAGATGTCTAGGATTGCAACTAAAAGAATGGATCCATACTTATTCATGCTTAGAGTACATCTACTGAATAAATGAGACTTAGGGGGAGCGCAGTTAACTTGCTCTACTAAATTTAGTAGGCTTATTCCTAGCATGACTAAATCAGTATCCAATTTTACATGTGCTTAAGTAACCAATTTTGAATTCAGTGGGACTTACTTCCTCAAAGACATATAAAGAATTGAACTGCATGATTATTATAAGGTTTGCAAAGATGATATCCTGAATATATTTTACAAGAAGATGAAAGTAATGTTCCCTGGTCTTAGAAATGGTTATTATTAGTTGATGTTTCATTTTCTATATTTAGCAAACTAACAGTGATGATGCAATCTGTTATATGGTACTTAACAGAAGTTGGTTTGGAAAAGATTATTGGATTTGTGGAAAAATTTCAGATAGTGAACTGATAATGCTGAGTTTCACTCTTCTTTTTTTCTCTCAAGAAGCAAAGCCTGCTCCAGAAATCTTTGAGAATGAAATCCTAGAGAGGCTTAGAGAGTTTACCAAAAACAAGCACAGAGAGAAGAGACTACGACAACCAGATCTGGAATATCTTGCTGAAGTCTCACGCTGATCTTGTGTGCATTTTCATAAATGCCCAGCTTGGGGCAGCCTTTAAAATGTAGGATCATATTTGTGCTGCAATTTTTTCTCTTAAAATAATTCATGCTTAATCTTCAGTAAATTCTCATATGAGTAGTCATTTTCTCTGTATTGTATTGTTCTGTAATAAAACTGCTTTTTTTTCTTGAAAGAAGAACTGATGCACACATTAGGAAATAGTGGTGAGATCACTTACTGCACTTTAGAAATGTCTTTTATTTATTTGATTTTTAGACTGCTGTAATCATGCAAATTTTGGCGACTTACATCTAACTGGAGCCTATGGGTGTGTGTTCGTGTGTGTAATTTCTAAGGCACAATCTTAACCAGTTAAAAGCCTCATTAACCTCCTCCCCAAAGGCTAAAGGGTTGGGCTAAACCCCATAATTTGAGTCTTGCTTGAAGTGAGGAGATGCTTCTCCATCATGGCTACTCCACTGTGGAACAGCCAACTAGTGGAGATAGAACATAATTTGAGTCTTGCTTGAGTTCAATTTCAGCCTATTTCTGCCCATCCAGATCCTGAAACCTTCCTGACATATAATTACTGGATGATGCAAACAAAAGCTGTCAGCTGATTCATCAAGAAATACTTCTGTTTGTTAATTTAATTAGATACTAACCTTGACCAACCCCAGGCTTTCTGTGCAGGTGTTAATATTGTACGTATGATGATTTTGTCCCAGAGATATGCAAATAGGATAACCATGAATTTGTTGGCATTTATATTAGCTTGTCTATTATCCATTTATTTCCAGTTACGAGATTTTTAACAGAATAGCAACTTCTAAGTAATAATGTGTAATGAGATACCCTGTGAACAAAATTATAGTATTAGTTCAGATATGTCAGTGCATGTATTACTTTGTATGCAACAACTTTCTTTCTGCTTGGCCAGCTCTTGCCACCTTCTACTTGGCCCAGCTGCTGCTTTGCTGTCCTTCTAGTTTCTCTGGCAATAGCTCAGGCAACCATCAGATTTTTGTAATGGAAATTTCACAGGCATTTTTTGTTCTTGGATTCAGATTCTGCTGTGTTCTCAAAACCTAGGTATGGGAGATTTTTTTTTTAACTTGGGAGTAAGTGGTCCATATTGTAATCAAGCTATCCCTGACTCAGTGATCACCAGAAATTTTGCGTTACGACTCCCGTCATCCTTGACTGTTTGATGATGGTTGACAATTCATAGGCAGAAATAAATTTTCAAGGGAGCTTGTAAATACCATAGAGGTCTCCAAAGGAACTTGTATACAGCAGTGGCTATTAACATTTTACCTTGCTGAATAAAATGTAATCAGAACAAGTATGTTCTACAGGAGATTAGTTGCATTTAACAGATGTATATTCATTGCTTGTCTGGTTACTGTAATTTAACAAGTTTGGCAGATGGTAAACATCTGCATTAGCTTTTAGATAACAAGTTCATTTTGTACATAAATTTCTTTAGCTCTTCAGTATTTTTATGATTCTAATGGAAAATGCACAGATTACAAATTGAAATGTGTATTTGAAAGCCTTAAAAACCAAGAAGTATATTAAAAGTTCGTTAGAAGTATTTTTCTTGATCAGCCAATACTCTCTGTAACTGTTTTAGGTTCGTGATTCAAAGATGTTGTATTAATACAGTATCTTCCTGTTGTTTCTCTTTCCATTTGTTATTAGTGACATTAACTGCCCACATGCTGTTTTGAAAGTGACCGTAAGAAATAAAAACAATTCAGTTTCATTTGTGCCATCCTTATAGTCTTATCAGATGTAATTTTGTAGGCAAGATAAGCCTAAGGTCTGTATTTCTCTCCTGTTGATCATATACTGGCTAAATAAACCATAAATACTGTAACACTTTCAGGCAGCTAGAATTTAATTTTATTATGAAGGGTAGTTTTACCCAATAAAACTTTGGAGTTACGATTATATACAATACTTAAAACAACTATTTTGTTCTGCATATTCTTTATGTAAAACAGTTTGAGTGTTCAGTTATTTTCAAATATGGCAGTTTAAAACAGTTTGATTTGTGAGAAATGCTAAAAAGTAATAGTTATTAGTGACAAAAAGGTAGCTTTTACTTGACCAACATTAACAAGGAAA